AATTATACTTATTATTTTTTACTCATATATTTGAATATATTCCTACCATCTTCTTTTGTACTTTCTATTTGTCCTGCTTTTTCTTTATTTCTTTTTTGCTAACTCTCTTTGCTTGACTCACTTTGAGGTTCTTTTTTCTCCTCACTTCAATTTTTTTTCTTTTACTAGATTTGGACTTTTATGCTCTTTTTATTATTATTATCATTGTATCAGAGATTTTCACGTGTTAACTTAAAGTCTAAAATTAATTGATATTTTTATCCCCTTCCCATTGCATATGTAGCCTCAAACCCTAGGTTTCTGGTCTGTCTCCACTCTTTATATTTCTCAGGATGAGTCCAGTTTTGGTTCCTATGTCCTTCAAACCTCAGAAGACGTAGGGCAACTTATGAAACAGTCCCCTCAAAGCCCTTCCTGGATTATCGCGAGGAGAGGCACTTTCTTCTTCTCCATGTGGGGTGGCATGGAGATGAGAGCCGAAATGCACAGCACACCATTACTACTGCCTTCTTTGAACTCATGAACTCTCATTTAGCTTAAATGATTTAGCTTTCTTTTCAAATGCAGCTCTGGCTGTGATGTGGAGAGTGAATTGGAGGGTAACAATTGTGGTTGCATTCGGATCAGTTAGAAGGCTTTGGCAGTAGTCTAGGCTCAAACTGGTGTTTTGGTCTAAAGTGTTGATAGTAAAAATGGAGAAGAATGGATGGCCTTGAGGGAGATTTGGGAGATATACTCGACAGGAGGAGGGGCCAGAGCACTTTCCACTCCTTTGCTCCATTGCCTGGCTCTTTGCCTGATAAAGTACATCTGTGCTTGTCTTCTGTGTCCTGCACCCAGCTACCTCTTGTCTTATCACCATCATGGGATCTGAGGTTCTCATATTGTGCTTAGAAAGACAGGCACCTGAGGAAGACAGACTGTGGGTGAGGGATCAGGCAATGTGGAGATGGCAAATGGTAGGCTTTGAATTCAAAAGAGAGTTTGAGGAATAAGAGTCAGGCACTAAGCTTAGGTGATGGAAAAGGAGGGATTCAGAACTTTAGCAAGGAATCTGGACCATGGGGGCTAAAGCTTCGTATAATCCCAACAACAGGATAGGGCACCCCCTATGATGAGTTGTTGGGTCTGAATCAAAATCTTTTCCACAGTAGGAATTGATTCAATACCTTCAGGTAAAAAACAAAAAATATATCTGCTTGTAATAGCGGAAGTATACTCATTCCACAAATGGTCAAGTATTGAGAAGGAACGTCTCTCATTCCATAGCAAGGTCAGTTGTTCCTAAGAATCTTCACAAAATCCTAAAAGTGACAACTTAATGTCAATATTCCTACTAAATTGCCCAGAAGAAAAGCATCATCAACATTTACACAGAGCTTTTCGTAAAGCTATTCGTTAATTCAATGAATATTTATTGAGTGCCTATTACCCGTTGAGTCTGATGCTGTGACTGGGAATATAGCGGCGAGACAGACAGTGTCCTCGCCCACATGAAGGTGACATTCTAAGGAACAGAGACAGATGATAAACAGATAAGCAAAAAACAAAATAATTTTAGATCTAATACATGCTGTGAAGAAAGTAAATATGGTGACAGAGGGAATGAGAAGGATAAAGAGCTGAGAACGAGGAGCCAAGAGCCAAGGCAAGAGCTTCCCGGGCAGGAGAAACTGCAAGTGCAGCGAGGCGAGAACAAATCAGGCACAGTTAATAAACAGGGAGGAGGCTGGTATGCATGGTGCAAAGTGAGGTCTCGGGCGGCCAGGTCAGTGAGGAGCTAGGCGGGCGCCAGATCATATAAGGGACGCGTCAGGCTTCATGAGTTTACATTTTATTCTTGATATCAGGGGAAGCCACTGGAGAGTTTTATGTAGGGGAATAAAATAATTTATATTTTTGAAAAATCACTCTGACTGCTGTGAAAACTCTAAGACAGGGTAAGAGTAGAAGTTTCTAGGCCCCCTGGAAAGCTCTGGAAGTAATACAGGTGAGAGATGGAGGTGGCTGAAGCAGGTGCACTTGAGGGAAGACAGGCTTTGATGGTGGATTGACTTGGAGATAGGAACAGGAGAGCAATCAGAAATTATCCATAGAAAGTAGAGGGAGATGGGCACAGATGTTAGCCCAGGGCCAGTCTCGTTACAATCAATGAACCTACATTGACACATTATCACTCAAAGTTCGTAGTTTACATTACGGTTCACTCTTAGTGTGTACATTCTATGGGTTTGGAAAAATGTGTAATGGCGTGTATCCACCTTGTAATATCATATGGAATAGTTTCACTGCCTTGAAAATCCTCTGCGCTCCTCCTATTCAACCCCCTACCAGCCCCTAATGTCTTTACTGTCTCCATAGTTTTGTCTTTTCCAGAATGTCATATAGATGGAATCATATGGTTTATAGCCTTTTCTGATTGGCTTTTTTCTCTTAGTTAAATGCATTTAAGGTTCCTCCTTGTCTTTTCATGGCTTGACAGCCCATTTCTTTTTAGTGTTGAATAATATTCTATTGTCTGGATGGACCACAGTTTATCCGTCACCTACTGAAGGACTTCTTGGTCGCTTCCAAGTTTTTGGCAATTATGAATAAACTTCTATAAATGTCTTTGTTTAGATTTTTTTGTGTAGACTTAAGTTTTTAATTCACTTGGGTAAATACCAAGAAATGTGATTGCTAGATTGTATGGTAACAATATGTTTAGTTTTTTAAGAAACTGCAGAAGGGTCTTCCAAAGTGGCTGTACCATTTTGCATTCCCACCAGCGGTGAATGCGCGTTCCTGTCGCTCCACATCCTCAGCAGCATTTGGTGTTGTCAGTGCTTTGGCCTTTGCCATTCTAGTAGATGTATGATGATATCTCATTGATGTTTTAATTTGCCTTTCCTGACGGTGTATGACGTGGAGCATCTCTTCATGTGTTTGTTTGTCATCTGTATATCTTCTCTGGTGAGGTATCTGTTCAGATCTTTCACCTTTTTTTTAACTGAGTCGTTTGTTTTCTTCTTATTGAGTTTTAAGAATTCTTTGAGTTGTAGGGGATCAGAATAGCTACCCCAGAATATGCCCCTTTGGCCTAAGGATTATTTTCAGCTGAAGGCAATAGAGCGGAAAGAGACACAAGAAAAAAATCTCTGCCTTGCCCCACTCTACCTAAGGATTATTTTCAGCTGAAGGCAATAGAGCAGAAAGAGACACAAGAAAAAAATCTCTGCCTTGCCCCACTCTACCAGGAAAGGCAGGGTGTTCTTAAACACCAGAGACGCTTATCAGCCCAGAGACAGAGGAACCTACATAACAAACCTTACTGAAACAACCCTTGTCTCCTGCTAGTTTCCCTCATATATTTACTTTTCCACAGTTTGCCATGCCTAAAAGCTTAAGCCCCTTTTCCTTTGTCTTGTCATGTCTCTACCAATTTTCTGTTCTTTGTTCGGATGCTATATAAGCCCCAGGTTCTAACCACCCCTTTGAGTTACTCATCACTGAGGTTTCTCCTGTGTGTAAACTTGATGCACAGGTTAATAAACTATTTGTTTTTCTCTTCTAATCTGCCTTTTGTCAGTTTAATTTCCAGGGCCCCAAGTGCAGAACCTAGGAGGGTAGAGAAAAAAGAAGTTTGTTTCCTCCCGTACAGTTTCTTTTGGGTAACAGTCCTTTATCAGAGGTGTCTTTTGCAAATATTTTCTCCCAGTCTGTGGCTTGTCTTCTAATTTTCTTAACAGTGTCTTTCAGAGAGCAGAGATTTTGAATTTTAATAAAGCATGGCTTATCAATTTTTTCTTTCATGGATCGTGTTTTTGATCATCTAGATGTGCTCCTATTTTGTCTTTTAGGAGTTTTATAGTTTTGCATCTTATCTTAAAGTCTGTGATCCATTTTGAGTTAATTTTTGTGAAGGGTGTAAGGTCTGTGTCTAAATTTATTTTTTTGTGTATGAATCTCCGAGGTTAACATTTTAAAAATGGATTTTTTTCTTGATTATAAAGTACAGGCTCATTGTAGAAACTTCTTAAAAGACAGATAAATATAAAGGAGAACATTGAAGTCATGGCCGTTAACCCTTCGATGAATTACCAATTAGTCCTTTTTAATATGCATTTTAACATTTTTCACCTTGCTTCTTTCATTTAGACATTATAATATGACCACTTTCCTTATGCAACTAAAAACTCTCTGTAAATATAATTCTCATAGTTGCATTCGGCCTAAGTAGATCATGTATTGTCATTTACTTAATTTTCCTATTGTCAGCCTTTCTTTCTTTGTTTTTTTTTTTAACTGAAGAAGACTCGCCCTGAGCTAACATCCACCACTCATCCTCTTGTTTTTTTTCTTGAGGAAGATTAGCTCTGAGCTAACATCTGTGCCAGTCTTCCTCTATTTTGTATGTAGGTTGCCACCACAGCATGGCTGATGAGTGGTGTAGGTCCATCCCCAGGATCTGAACCTGTGAATCCCAGCCACCAGAGTGGAGCCTGCAAACTTAACCACCACACCATGGAGCCAGCTCCAGCATTTCTGATTTCTAACTTTTATCATACTGCTGTGATGCACATCTTTGTTTGGAAAGCCTTTTTTCCCTCCTGTGTTTCAAGTTATTTCCTTAGGATAGAGCCCTATCAGTAGACTTATGGGATCAGAAGGGAAAAAATAATGCTAGAGCTCTTAATGCATAATGTCAAACTTCTTTCTGGGAAGATTGTACTGACTTACATCCTATCAGCAGTGGACGAATGCCTCTCTCCACTCGACTCTTGCCACCCCTGAACCCTATCATTTACAAATCTTTGCTAATTTGATAGGTGAAAAATTGTACCCCATTGCTGTAGTTGGCATTTCACTGATTACGTACTATGGAGGCTGAAGAAATATTAATGAAATGTTCATTTGTTAGCCATTTGTAGTATATTTTGTTTATAAATTATATATTCATAAACTTGCTCATTTAAGCCACAGTTTTTTCCAAATTCCTTAATGTTTTTTGCTTTGTTTAGGAAAACTGGAACAGCTTACATAAGAGAGATATTGCAACATAACAGGCCTGAAGGATTTTTGTCCTCAGTTATTGCAGAAGTCATAGACCCTTTCGGAATAGAAGAAGCCAGTGAGAGCTCTTGTTTGTCTAGTTCCCTTTCCATTAATCAAACTGGACATTTCTCCTATAAACTTACTCTTCAATTACAAAGTAAGTGTAGTAATATAATACATCACTGATGGCCAGAAAAAAATGAAAAATTATCTTTTGGGAGGACTGTTCATGCTCATTTGCAGAACAATCGATTTTACAATTTAGTCCGCTTGCCAACCTACAGAAGTCTACATACACTTCAGTTCCTGGAGGAATTTTTTATTTCTAATATAATAAAAACTAGCTGTAACTTCATTGATATTTCATTAATAGAAGTGCTTTCATTTATTCCTATGATGTTATTTTGTCGTAAATAGTATTCAGGAGAAGTGAAAAAAAATAGGAAGCCCATGTAGATTTTGCCCCACATAATAATAGAATTTTGAATCACTGTTATGGAGGAAATTTCGTTTTCAAAGGATTTATGATAGATACATAGCAAAAGTTAGTATAGTTTATTGTAAGGATTTGGGTTCTCCTCTGAGTAAGTGGGAGGCCATTGGAGGGTTTTGAGCAGAAAGTGACATGACTGTACTTGGGTTTTAACAAGATCACTTTGGCTGCTGCATTGAGAATAGACTGGGCACGTGGTGGAGAGAGGGCAAGAAGGAAAGCAGAGAAATGAGTTAGGATGCTGTTGCAATAATCAGGTGAGAGATCATAGCAACTGTAAGATGCTGTCACTCATCCAAGTGGGAAAATAAGGTGGATATTTAGAAAGACAAGTCTGGAGTTCAGGAAAGACATCTGGACTGGAGAGAGAAATTTCGGCAGTCAGCATATATATGATAGTTAATGCTATGAGACCAGATGAGATCACCTGGAAAATGAGTGTGGATATGGAAAAGAAAAATTCTGAGTTCCAATCCCTGACACTCCAACAATTAATGGTCCAGGAGGTGGGGAAGAATCCGGAAAAGAGATTGGATGGTGTGCTCAGAGAAGAACTAAGAAAGAGCGTGTCTCAGAAGCCAAGTGAAGGTGTTTCAAGAAGGTGGGAGTGTTTCTTTGTCAGAGGCTACCATAGGTCAGGTAAGATGAGGAAAGAAAACTGGCTGATGGATCTCTGTGAAAGTCACTGGTAACCTTGACAAAAGCTATTGTCGGGTGGAGCAGTGTGGACAAAATTCTGATTGGGTTATGTTCAAGAAATTATGAGAGGAGAGGAAGTGAAGACAGTGAATAAAGGCAACTCTTTCAGGGAATTTCACTAGGGGGGGAGGAGAGGAATTATATGGCAGTTGGAGGGAATGTAGGAAAGGATTTTTATTGGTTTGTTTAAAAAGGGAGAAATTAGAGCACATGTGCATAATAAAGGGAATCAAGAGATTCTTCTGACTACTTCTATTTACCTTTTCAGAATGAAGCAAGTGTTATTGTTGTTGACGTTTCATGACCTATCAAAAACCTTTGATAACGACTTCCTCCCTCTTCGAAGCAGCCTCCTTTTGGCTTTCCTCATATCCCCTCTCATGGATTTTCTCCAATCACTTCTTCTTTTGCTCCAAAAAGTGGAATCTTTTTCCTTCCTTTTCCTTACATGACAGTGTCCCTTATGACCCCGTCCTGGAGCCTCTTTTCTTCTACACCTTCCTGCTCTCCTTAAGCAATAAATTATTCATCCCTTCAACAAATATTTATCGAGCACCTTCTATGTAATAGGCAGACCTGTAGGCATTGGGGAAACACTGGCCACATTATCCTTCTCTTGTAGAATCACAATGAAGATTCTAGGTTATTAAGGCTCATGGCAGTTCTACAGTAAAGAAATCAGCTTTCTTATAATTACTTAACCCTACATGTCTTCTTTTTTCTGCTGAGAATCTTACAGAACTCATTGTAAAGGTTAAAGTTTCATAGTAAAGGTTTGTGCTTGACGTATTTGTGATACACCTTCTATAAAATAATTTGAATTATAACCTGAAATCTAGCAAATGTGTTCTCTGGTTAAGATCATAGTTTAAAAACTCAAATAGCATATTTATCAGTTATGTCCACCAGTGTGCGTGGGGAACATTGGCTGCTGATTTGACACCGAATCATTCCCGTTTCAGCTCCAGGTATTATTTCCTCATTTCAAGACTCAGATATAGAGAAGACTGTGGTGATTCCTGGTTACAGCAGCTTCCTGATCACAAGCATTTTAGATGATAAGAACGCTTTAGCTATTGCTACGATGCCTGAAAGAGTGCCCACCAATAGGATCTTTCCAAAAGACTCCTGGTTCCTGTACAACTTTGGGCAAAAGAATGGAAGGACATGGAAAATACATTCAAAACCGTGTAATTATTGGTTTCAACAACACGATGATTCACTATCCCTCAATGTCCTGAAATACATTGATCTGGGGAAATCTCATACTTTCAAAGTTAAGCTCATACCTCACACAAAAGGTAAGTTTATTTTTATTGGGAAACGTCAAAAGCAGGTGTTACTGGTTTCCTTGAATGTGAAATACGCCCTTTGATATTTCTTTTATCTTTGGTTTCCATAGGAGCTGGCATCCTGCTGATAACAGTATTAGCTTCTAATTATTGAGAACTTATGATGTGCAAGGCTCTGTAGTAAATGGTTTATAAAATTTTTTAAATTTAATGTTTATAACAACCCTAAAATGCCAAATAATAATCCTCATTTTAAAAATGAGGAAAATGAGTTACCACCCCAAGTTTACAGAGTATTTTAGTTTAGATTTTTTGCTGTCCTCTGAAAAGAAAACCTGGTAATTACCTTGGTACTGTTATAATTATTTCAAGCCAAAAAATGGCTTTTAGATAGGATTTTATACTTTTTCTCATTTTTCCAGGTATTTGCTTATTGTAAAAGTAGCACAAAACTTATTGAAGATGATGGAGAAATGACATACTGGAAAAAAAACCAAAAAATTTTAGCAAATAACTGAGGTAGAAAGAGAGGAGGGAAAGATTGAAGGAAGGGAGAGAAAGAGAAGGAAATCCTGTCAGCAGAAATGAAGAGGGAACTCAAGGCCCATGAATCTAGGTAATGTGTGGCTCCCTGAAGGATGTGAGGCTCAGATATAGGCCATATAGGGAGCGGGATGGGTTTTGATGCCCAAGCATTGGCAGAAGATGTGGCTTTGGACCTTCTTACTTGGTAGTAGAAAATTGGAACTAAGACCATTACATAAAGCTGGGACCGTCAAATCCTGAAGAGGTGACTAGGAAAACACTACTCACCAACGCAAAGAAGGAGCTGGGGGTGGGGGGGAGGTGGGGGTGGGGATTATTGTCTCCACGAGACTCAAAGTGGGGAGAAAAATCCCCTGTAAAAAAAACCCCAGACTCCAAGATTATGTAACACCCAGAGACTACCCACCAAATGCAGAAATCCCAAACTGAGAAATAGTTAAAACACCTGGGCCCCAGCATAAGCAAGCACAAAACTCTCTGAAGAAATTATTTCATAACCCAGCTAACGTGGACTTTCGTGGAAAAATCAGTCTTCATTGAACGTGAATTGAGGAAAAGAATTTTAAAACTATGTGAGGAAATAATCCAACATAAGAGAGAGTCAACAAGCATAGGAAACAGAAAAATTTAAGCTCCAAGTACTTGAGACAATAGAAAAATCAGAAAGATACTGTAAAAATAAGCATAAGTAAAAGAGATCTTAAAGAGTTACAAGAAGATATATGAACCATAATGAAAGGACAAAACACTATTTTTCAAAAAAGCTTATTTGAGAAACATAACCAATTGCAGCTTATACAAATGAAAATTATAGGCTTTGGGAAAAAAATGGAGGACATCTATTTCTTTTTTTTTTTTCAGTTTATTTTTTATTGAGGTAACACTGGTTTATAACATTATATGAATTTCAGTGTACATCATTATATTTTGATTTCTGTGTAGACAACATCATGTTCACCACCCAAAGGCTAATTACCACCTGTCACCGTATACGTGTGCCTTTAACTCCTTTCGCCCTCGCCCCTCCCCCTCTGGTGACCGTCAATCTATTCTCTATATCTATCTGTTTGTTTGTTGCTGGGAGGACATCTATTTCTATTTCCATCGATATTGTAGACTAAATATCCTGGAAAACTTTCTGAAACCCTTAGAAACCTTTCTCATTGATTATATGACTAATTGTCCATATTTCCTTCAAGTAATTTTACAGTTATTTTTACGGTTTTAACTTTCCATCTAATTCTTTAATTTATCTAGATTTAATTTTGGTGAATTGTAGGTGGTTAACTAGTTGTCCCAACATCACTTATTGAATAGTGTATTTTTCTTCACTGATTTTTAGTATACTATTATTTTAAGCATTTCTGAAATTTTAAACTGTTTGTTATCTCTTTATATTCCAGCACAAATTCCACGTGTTCTAATTATTTTGACTTTAAAATATACCAAATTAGTTGTTAAAGGATGCTGTTTTACTCATTCAGTTTGCTGGAAGCAGGTAGTAATCAGCAAATAAACTCAGTTGCCTCTCTGTGGAGAAGACCCTAGTCCATGCTACTCAAGGTGTGGTTGCATTGCATTGCAACACATCGGCATTACCTAGGCGCTTGTTAGAAGTGCGGAGTCTTTCGTGGTTCCATGTGAATTTTAGAGTTGTTTCTTCTATTTCTGTGAAAAATGTCATTGTACTTTTGGTAGGGATTACAATGAGTCTGTAGCTTGCTTTAGGTAGTATGGACATTTTAATAATATTAATTCTTCCAGTCCATAAACATGGCATTCCATTTCTTTTGTCTTCTTCAGTTTCTTTCACCAATGTCTTACAGTTTTCAATGTACAGGTCTTTCACCTCCATAGTGAAATTTATTCCTAATATTTTATTATTTTTTTTAAGATCAGCAGCTGAGCTAACAACTGTTGGCAATCTTCTCTTCTTCTTCCCCTTCCCTCCTCCTCCCCAAAGCCCCCCAGAACATAGTTGTATATTCTACTTGTAGGTCCTTCTGTCTCTGCTATGTGGGACACCACCTTAGCGTGGCTTGATGAGCGGTGCCATGTCCATGCCCAGGATCGGAACCAGCAAAACCCTGGGCCGCCAAAGCGCAATGTGCGAACTTAACCACTCAGCCACGGGGCCAGCCCCTATTTTATTCTTTTTGATGCTATTGTAAACGGGTTTGTTTTCTTAATTTCTCTTTTGGATACTTCATTGTTAGTGTTACTGATTTTTGTATGTTGACTTTTCATCCTGCAACTTTACTGAACTTGTTTATGAGTTCTAACAGCTCTTTAGTGGAGTCTTTAGAGTTTTCTATATATAAGATCTTGTCATCTGCAAACAGAGACAGTTTTACTTCTTCCTTTCTGACTTGGATGCCATTTCTTTCTCTTTTTTTTCTTTTTTTCTGCCTAATTGCTCATGATAGAGCTTCCAGTACTGTGTTGGATAGAAGTGGCGAGAGTGGGCATCAGTCTTGTTCCTGATCTTAGAGGAAAAATTTAAGCTTTGAGTGAGATGAGTATGAGTATGATGTTAGCTATGGCCTTGTCACAGATGACCTTTATTGTGCTGAGGTACATTTTTTCTATACCTAATTTGTTGAGAGTTCTTATCATGAATGGATGTTGAATTTTGTCAAATGCTTTTTCTGCATCTATTGAGTTGATCAATGGTTTTTATCATTCATTCTGTCAATGTGGTGTATCACCTTAAAGACCCTGAATAGCCAAAGCAATCTTGAGAAAAAACAAAACTGGAGGCATCACACTTCCTGATTTCAAACTATGTTACAAAGCTATATTAATCAAAACATTATGGTACTGACATAAAAACAGACACATAGACCAATGGAACAGAATAGAGAACCCAGGAATAAACCCACGCATATATGGTTAACTAATCTTTGACACGAGAGCCAAGAAGACATAAATGGGGAAGGATAGTCTTTTCAATAAATGCTGCTGGGAAAACTCGATCATCACATGCAAAAGAATGAAACTGGGCCCCTATCTTACACTACTCACAAAAATTAATTTGAAATAGATTAAAGACTTAAATGTAAGACCTGGAACCATAAAATTCCTCAAAGAAAACATAGGGAAAAGCTCCTTGACATTGGTCTTGGCAATGATTTTTTTTAAAATGGCACCAAAGGCACAAGCAACGAAAGCATAAATCAACAAGAGGGGCCACAGCAAAGGAAACCAACAATAAAATGAAAAGATGACCTACACAATGGGAGAAAATATTTGCAAGCCATCTATCTAATAAGGGGTAATATCTAAAATATATAAGGAACTCATACAACTCAATGCAAAAAAAGCCAATCCAATTAAAAAATGGGCAAAGAATTTGAATAAATGTTTTCCAAGATGTGGAAAGAACCTAAGTGCCCATCAACAGGTGAACAGATATGGAAAATATGGTGTGTTTATATATATATACATATATATATATATGCAAAGGAATATTATTCAGCCATAAAAAGAAGGAAATCCTGCCATTTGCACTACCACGAATGAACTTGGAGGACGTTATGCTAAGTAAAATAAGCCAGACAGAGAAAGACAAATACTGCATGCTATCACTCATATGTGGAATCTAAAAAAAAAAGGCTAACTCATAGAAATAGAGTAGAATGCTGGTTCCCAGTGGGTGGGGAAGATAGGGAGATGTTGGTCAAAGGGTGCAAACCTCTAGTTATTAAATGAATAAGTTCTGGGGCTCTAATGTACAGCATGGTGACTGTAGTTAATAATACTGTATTGTATACTTGAAATTTGCTAAAAGAGTAGATCTTAAGCATTCTCGCCACAAAAAATGAAAGGTAACTATGTGAAGCGATCAATATGTTAATTAACTTAATTGTGGTAATCATTTCACAATGGATACATATATCAAATCATCATGTTATGCACTTTAAATATGTATAATTAGCTTTGTCCATTATACCTCAATAAAGCTGGGGGAAAGGGTGCAGAATCTCAAGGGCCTCCCCAGACCTGCTAAATTTGAATCCGCATTTCAACGAAATCCCCAGTTAAAGTTTAGGAAGCACTGGCCAGATGACTTTGGTTTAAGGGAAACTGCTGCCAACAGAACCTCAGGCATATCATTTATTACTTCTCAGCTCTGATTTACTGATTAGTAAAGATGGCAGTTAGACTACATGGTCTTTCAAATCTCTTTTTTCCATTTAACTTCTCGGTATGCAGAGGTGGCCTGCAGGCAGAAATTGGCCTGATGCCTTATTGTGTTTGAAATGCCTGGGAGTTTCCTCTTGGCAACAGTTGATGAACAGCCCTTTAAATTGAGCATAGGGCCGGCCCCATGGCTGAGTGGGTAAGTTCATGCTTCGGGGGCCCAGCGTTTCTCCAGTTCGGATCCTGGGCGCGGACATGGCACGGCTCATCAGGCCATGTTGAGGCAGCGTCCCACATAGCACCACTACAAGGATCCACCACTAAGATATACAACTATGTACTCAGGGGACTTAGGGAGAAAAAGCAATAAAAAAAAAAAAAAGAAGATTGGCAACAGTTGTTAGCTCAGGTGCCAATCTTTAAAAAAAAAAAAAAAGCTAAAATTTAAGAATTAAAAATATTGTTTAAAAAAAATTGAGCGTATACTCTTCAGTTTCTCTACTGAATTATCCGACTCAGTGTGATGGGCGCTATGCAAGGGACCTTCATGTGCGTTTGAGAACCTGGCTGAGGAAGGAGGGGTAGAAGAGAGCAATATTTCTGCGACAAAATATTTGTGAAGTTAAATTTTTCCAAGTGTTAAAGTTAACGCTATATAAATTGCTAACTATATTTGCAGGCATTATGCATCCTTCATAATAGATTCTGTAGATGTTCTAGAAGCCTGATTAGCCAGGCATGATTAAATTGTTCAATATTTTCTTGAGTTAATAGTGACCCTTGGCGTCGTTTCCATAGGTATTCAAATTCTTGAAGCACCACTTCTGACAGTGATTGTTGGAAGCCCAACTCTACTGGAAGTTAAAGCTGAAGGTGCTTTTGATGATACCGACAGTTATACACTGGAAATTTCTGCGGCTAGCAAGGGTTTACGTCAAGTAAGCTTTTCTTTTATTACGAGAAAAATCTATTAATTACAGGCAATTTAGAAGACAAGTTAACAAGGAAAAATTACACATCATGATACCCATCAATGACGACTAAGCGCTTTTAACATTTGAGGTATGACAGAAAGGCAGTGTAGCAATGCTTGTTAGAGGTTGAAAGAGTGGGGTCTGGAAAGAGTGAGCTGGATTGCACTTCTGGTACTGTCTGCGTGAACTTGGGAAAGTTACTGTGGCTAAGTTTCTTCATCTATAGCATGGAGAGGATAGTAGTAATAACATCTGCCTCACAGGGTTGTCTTGAGAGTTAAATGTGATCATTCAAGTAGGGCATCTGGAACAATGTCTGGCACACAGGAAATGCTCAATCACCGTAAACTTACGGTATTTTCCCAACAGTGGGAGAGCATTGTATATGCATGTTAAAAGGTTTGCTTCTTCCGCTTAACTCTATGTTTTAATCCTTTCGAGTCAATAAATATTTTTCTACATATTCTAAAATTTTTTATCATGAAAAGTTTCAGATATGGACAAAAGTGGAATTTCCATATATCTATTACACTCAAATTAACAATACATAGCCAAGATTTTGCTGCTTTTGTTTTGTCATCCCTGTTTAATTTTTTTGGTTGTTTATATTTTGATATATTTTTAATGATGCTTTTTTTTTTCCTGCTTTTTCTCTCCAAATCCCTCCAGTACATAGTTGTATATTTTAGTTGTGGGTCCTTCTAGTTGCGGCATGTGGGACACCGCCTCAGCATGGCCTGATGAGTGGTGCCACGTCCGCACCCGGGATCTGAACCAGCGAAACCCTGGGCTGCTGAAAGAGAGGGCGAGAACTTAACCTCTCGGCCACAGGGCCGGCCCCATATATTCTAATATATTTTTAAATGCATAGCAAACATCATGTCATTTCACTCCTATATGCTTCAATACACATCTCTAAAAAATGTGTATTCTCTCTCATATAACCACAAAGCCATTACCATCCCTAAAACTTTTTAAATGAATTTTCTGCTGTCCTATAAAACCCAGTTGATAAACAAATTTCCCCAATTTGCTCAAAAAAAATTTTTATAGTTGGTTTGTTTGAATCGGGATCCAAACAAGATTCACACAGTATGTAGTTATTTTCTCTCTTAAATCTCTTTTAATCAAAGGTAGGTACTACTCCATTCTTCCCCTGCCATTCAATTGTAGGAATTGGATCAGTTATATTATAGAATATCCAATATTCTGGATTTTTCTATTTACTCATTGTTTCTTATTTAACTGGTGCCTTCCCCCACCCACCAACTTCCTTTAATAGTAGAACCCTGCTTAGAGTTTGGTTCATTGTGTTCTGGCAGAAATTCATTAAAAATATACCATTTTTTGTGGCTATGCTGTGGGGACAGGGTGAAACTTCCACTATCAGTCTACTACGTACTGCAGTTATTAGCATTTCTACATTTTTAAAATTGCAAAAAGGCTCTAAAATTTGAAACAGAATTATCAAATTTTGTTAAATGTTTAATATTGTTCCAGGTTCGTTTACATTTATTGTGCATAAATTCCTACTAAAAACATATCTTTGTGAAATACAGTGATTACTAAGTGAATAACTTCTTCTCGAGACGTGTACCAGTGGAAGTTATCTTATTCGTATAATCAAAGAAAATGACCCAGCGCTCGTCAGTGAATGAGGGAAGCCTCATTGACCTGGGTTGGAGATAATAATGGTGTTTAGGTAATAAGTCCTTCCTGCTCCTTGCTCATTTCCGAATGTTGCCCACGACCCATTAGACTGGAATGTGTTTCTTCCTGGAGAAGAATGTTTCCTGTTGTGACTTGTTCTCCAACAGACCTTGATGTCAAACATCACTCTCTATTTCCTATCATCGCTCTTCTTCTATTTCTTTCCTTTTTCTATATTCTTTAGTTGGTTGCTGTATCAGTCTGCTCGGGCCACCATAACAAAATACCACAAACTGAGTGACTTAAACAACAGAGATTTGTGTTCTCACGGTTCTAGAGGCTAGAAGTCCAAGATCAAGGTGTCAGCAGGGTTGGTTTCCTCTGAGGCCTCTCTCCTTGGCTTATAGATGGCTGCCTTCTCCCTGTGTCTTCACATCGTCTTCCCTCTGTGCGTCTATGTTCAAATTTCCTCTTGTTATAAGGACCCCCATGGCATTTGAATTAGAGCCCACCCTAATAACCCCCATTTTAACTTAATTACCTCTTTAAAGACCCTCTCTCCAAATACAGTCATATTTTGAGATACTGGGGTTTAGGACATTAGCATATGAATTTTGAGTGGATACATTTCAGCCTATAACAGTTACTTTAATAACCTTCATTTATTTGGCTATTTCCAGGGTTCAACTTCACTGGCATTAATTGCCCGGGGAGCATCGACTGAATGCTTTGTGACAACAATGGTGCCGATATTGAAAAGCAGCTGTAGTTATCTCAAATCTATGCATCATGTTCCCAGTACATCTATAACTCTGGAACACTGGATTAGTGGAATTCACAAAGACAAGCAGGGTTTTAATCAGATCAAAACTTTGCCGGTAAGAAACCTAGGCAGATTGTTTTAAGGGTACCAGTGATGTATTACTTTTGTGTGATTGGCTAGCCATTCAGTCATAGCATTTCTTTCCTGAGATGCTCAAAACACTCCAATTTTTTCAATCCTCACGTCATTTTGAGGATGTGACGATAATTTATTTCTAAAATGTGAACACTCTCTGAAATAATGATTTTCCTTGGTAACTTGGTAAAGACTTAGTAAATAATAATGCATTATACATTTTCTTTGCTTCATCGCTTACAGGTAAACTACAGGCCTCCATCTAATATGGGAATTGCTATTCCACTCACAGATAATTTTTATCACGCAGATCCTAGCAAACCCATACCGAGAAATCTATTCCCCAAGTCAAAGGTAAATGGTTTTTCTACAAATAAACTAGTATTTATTTGAATTCAAGAAATAATTCAGTAAAATTACGGATGGACCTAGCTGCAGAGATTAAATGAGAAGGTGCATTCAGCGCAATGCTCCATCTGCCCTATGTCAGCACTTATTGTTATCATAGTTATTGTTGTTGTTACCCCTGTGTCTTCTCCTACTACTTTAGTCCCCTCTTCTCTTACTGCGACTTCTGGATATGGTTTTGCAGCCAAGAAGTCTAAATGGACCCTTTCCCCCTGACCTCTCCCTGGTTCCCATTTGGATTTCAAAGGGGATACATAGGGTAAGAGCATGTTTTCTCAAATGAAAGGAGCCCCCAGACCCATCTCACGTCTGCAGCCCTGTGAAAGTAATGGCATCCAAAAGAAAAGAAGAGTGTTTGCTCCCTCACAGGCACATTTCAACTCTTGCCAAGGTTCTGCCTAGAAAATAACCAACCCCCAGCATCTCTCTGCCTCTCTGGAGGGCAGCGTGACCAAGACAGAGAGGACAGAGAGAAACCATTAGGTTCAGAGGAAAAGCACATCACGGGGTAGCTTCTCCAGGAAACTTCATAGGTGCCTGTGGAGTCTCTCCAGAAAAATGCACCTGCCTGCACATATACATGTGCAGTCAGGCATACCCACTTATGTTCATGCACACATACGCCAAGACACAAAACTGTTGTTCCTTTCGTTCAAAACTTTCTGTTGTCTTCCCATCTCAGAGTAAAAGCCAAATTCTTACAAGTCTGTAAGGTCCTCCATGATTCAGCCTCGGCACACAGCTGACCTGCCTTCCCAGGTGGACCTGCTCTGGCCACGCTGGCCTCCTTGCTGGCCTTCAACTATGCCAGACGCATTTCCACCTTAGGGCCTTTGCATTTCAAAAAATTCCGCTGTCCGGAATGCTCTTCTCCCAGATATCACTGGCATACTTGGTCACCGTCTCCAGGTTTTGCTTAAATGTCACCATGATGTGACGCCTTCCTGACCCCCCTCCCCTCCTACCCATTCCCTGTCCCCCTTGCCTGCCTCATTTTTCTTCATTGCACTTATTACAGTGTTACATATTTTACTCATTTATTTCTTGTATTTCATAAAAAAGTAAGCTACATGAGGCAAGATTGCTGTATTTTTTAAATCTATTTTGTTCTCTACTGTATCTTTAGTACCCAGAACAGTGCCAGACATAGGGAGTGCTTAAAAATTGTCCGACTAATAACACGTTATTACTTACACACACACACACACACACACACAAGGAGATTGACTTCTTGTTGCATCTTGGATTTCAGAGTAAGAAGCTCTGCTCCAGGCAATAAGCAGCTAACTATAATCCTGGGTTCTTCTTCAATTCTCATTCCTCCCAAAGGTAAACCCCATGTGTCACTAGAACCAATCCTCCTCTATTTTTTTTTTCTTTCTTTGTGAGGAAGATTGGCCCTAAGGTAACATCTGGTGCCAATCTCCGTCTTTTTGCTTGAGGAAGATTGTTCCTGAGCTAATATCTGTGCCAATCTTCCTCTACTTTATGTGGGATGCTGCCACAGCGTGGCTTGACGAGTGGTGCTAGGTCTGCACCTGGGATCCAAACCTGCGAACCCCAGGCTGCCAAAGTGGAGCACGCGAACTTAACCACTATGCCAGTGGGCCGGCCCCCAAGCCTTCTCTGTTGAACTATAACTTTGCTATATTTATGTGGAAATCGTTAGGTTTTTTTTTTTTTCAGAATTTTCTTGTGAGTTGAACAGAAAATGCATCTAATTTACACCTAAGTAAATAAGAGTTTTCTAATGTACCTTTTATGCATTCAACACATGTTAATCTCAGCATTTCCGGTGCTATCAGGCCCCGTACAGACATCCTCTGAGGATACAGCGATGAACTAGATAACGTGACACCTTCATGGATCTTTAGCAGGGGAGAATAAGCATTCCACAAGAAGTGGTGCAAGTTGAACAGCATCATCTGGTGCAGTGTTTCTGAACAGCATGGCCACGCAGAGCCTGAACCAGAATTATCTGGGAATGCTTCTGCAGCACAGCTTTCTCAACCTCAATTCATAGCTGTTGACTCAGAAACTGTGCATGTAGTCCTGAAATTGGCTTTTGTGTGTGTGTGTGTGTGAGGAAGATTCACCCAGAGCTCACATCCATTGCCAATCTTCCTCTTTTTGTTGCTTGAGGAAGACTAGCCCCGAGCTAACCTCTGAGCCAGTCTTCCTCTGCTTTGTATGTGGGATGCCTCCACGGCATGGCTGATGAGTGGAGCAGGTCCACACCTGGGATCTGAACCCGGGCCGCCTAAGCAGAGCACATGGAGCTTTAACCACTCGGCCACAGGGCTGGCCCTAAAATCGGCACTTTTTAAAAATCTCTCCAGTTGATCTTTATTTGCCCTAAAGTTTAAGATAGGCAAGTAGTAGAGACGGACATAATACACACAGTAGGACCGTGGATCAGGGACGCCTCACCCAGTCTGAGGGAGTCTGGAAGACAAGTAGGGCTAACCAAAACAAGCAAGAGGGAGGACGAGGCTAGACAAGGGAAGAAGAGAGAGAAAGAGCATTTGAAGCCAAGGAAATGCCCTACACCAAGGGCAGAGGTGGGAAAGGGCTCAGTGACACGGAAGACTCAGAGACCAGAAGGCCCGGAGTACAGTGAGCAAGAGGGAGGGAGAGGCCCTCAACGAGATGAGGGCTAGCAGGCCCTGGGGCCAGGGCACTCTGTGGGCAGTCGAAAGGATTTTGAATTTTATCCTGAGAGAAATCAAGAGGCATGGACGGGGTTTAAGCAAGAGAGTGACATGTTTGTATATTTGTATTTTTAAATGTACACAATGTATTTTAAAAAATAAGAATAGAAAAAAAATGACAAACATCTACACTCTCTGCTGGATGAACTCCATGAAACATTGAGGAACATATTTTTGAATAGACTATATCAGCGCAGGAAAAAAAAAGAAAGAAAGAGTTTGGTGAAGAAACCAAAAAGTTTAAGGAAATTCTGAAGACAGAAAGCAAATAGGATCCGAGGTACAGAGAAACAGAACTGGAAGAGGTCACAAGTGACAGCCAAAACGAAACAAAAAATGGAGCCCCAAAACCCCAATGCCTAAAGAGGGGATTCAAGAGAATTTCAATTCCGAAGTCAAAGGATGCACGGAGCCAGGGAGCGTCTCTGGGGCACAGGTCAGGAGAAGCACGGCTAATCTGGCAGCCCCTCCACAACCTGCCCCGAGATGCTAAGGGTTTCACCTGCAAGGCAGAGCGTCCAGAGGGAACCTGGGACAAGGAGGCAGCTACTGACCATTGAGAGCAATAGGAGCCCCCTCCCAGACACTCAGATGCTAGCACGTTTCTCTTTGCAGTCCATACCCCATAATTACTAAAGACTGTTCTAGGGTAATCAGAATAAGGAGGCCAAGAGCAATTTCTTTCTTTGCTTATTTTGTGAGGAAGATGGTCCCTGAGCTAACGTCTGTGCCAGTCTTCCTCCACTTTGTATATGGGATGCTGCCACAGCATGGCTTGATAAGTGGTGTGTAGGTTCTGCCCGGGAACCAAACCCATGAACCCTGGGCCACCAAAGCAGAGTGGGAAAACTTAATTACTACGTCAGCAGGCTGGCCCTGGCAATTTCTTTTAAACGATAAGGGTTTTTGCTGGAATGAGAACTATGAACCCCAAACCATCTGTCATTCTACAAAATTACTCCCTAAAAATAATAAGACAAGTGGGAAAATAGGAAGATAGGGTTGGAGCAGACCACTTAAAATGTATGTAACTCTGCCTCCCAGCACCTCAAAACATGAACAGGCTGGAAAAAAGTGCTTATGAACCAATACTATGACTGCCTGTTGTGGTGCCATCATTCCTTTACGGGACAATCACGTGCAACATCATTCCAAATACGTGCGGCAGCAGTTAGACCCTCCAGGGAGGAGCTGGCAACTGCAAAATGCCAAATATTCGAAGAAAACTTGCACAATAAAAAAAGAGGCTTAGATCTCAACAACTGAAAAAGGCTGATGCCTCAGAAAACAGACTTAATATCATCATTAGAAACAATCTTTAGAATGAGTGTAATAATTATTTCAGAATGATTCAAGGAAATATTGCAGCCATGAAAAAAATTGGAGACATCGTACCTGCAAAAAAGGTGTTGGAGATTATAAATGAGCTCAGTGGAACAGCTCAGGAGATTGACTGAATAGCTCAATGGACCCAACCAGACAGCAGATGAGTGAGTAGGGAAATGAAATCTTCTGAGACAGATTGTGTGTTGCTAATCTAGCTCTATGTGCCTGATATCAGAACTTCAAAATACATAAAGTCAAAACCAATAGAAATACAAGGAAAAATTGACAAATACATAATGATAACAAGAGGTTTTAACACAACTCTTTCAGAAATGGTCATCTCAAGTAGTCAAAAGAACAAGTCAGTCTATAAGGAATTTGAATATTACAGTTCATATTCAGACATACGTGTGTGTGTTTGGGCAGAAAATACACATTTTTTTCAATCTACATGGAATATTCATACAAGTGACTTTATTTTGTAATAAAGTCTTGATGAGTTTTAAAAAGGTTTAATACAGTCCATATCTGATAACTTTAAATCATTAAAATTCAAATTTTAAAAACACAAAAAAATGATGAAAATTAGTACATATATACACACCTCTCTTCAGTTCACCCTCCCCTAAATTTCTGTCTAGTCTGACTTATGAACATAGACGCAAAAATCCTGAATAAAATACTGGGGAACCAAATGCATCAGTATCTAAAACTGCAGTAGACCAGGAGTCTGGAGAGCTTCTCCAAGAATGCGAGGAAGTTTGAGCATATGAAAATACATTAAAATAATTCACTTTATCAATGAATTAAAGCAAAAAGAATCTCAACAGAGGCCATAAAGATAGCAGGTACAATTTAACACCCATTTCTCGTTAAGCTTCTGCAAACCAGAAATAGAAGTAATGTTCTTCAATCTGATAAATAGTATCTGTGAGAAATCTATCAAACATCATATAAAATTAAGTATTAGAAGCAGTCACAATTAAACATTTCCATTTTATTTCATTCTGTATGGTCTAGTTAAGGCACTATGACAAAAATAAATGAAGTATAAATATTGGAAAGAGATGAAACTCACAATTTGCAGATATAATTATTTACTTAGACAATATGGAAGAATCAACTCGCAAACTATTAAGCTAATAATAATTATTAATGTAGCCCAATGAATATAAGACCAACAAAGAAAAATCAATAATGTTCCTATCTATTTATAATAACCAGTTAGGAGCTATAGTGAAAAATAGCCCACTCTTCATTTCCACACAACCAATAAAAGATGTAGAATTTGACCTGAAAATATGTGCAAGACGGGTATGAAAAGAATTTTACAATTTAACTGAAGCCCGTAAAAAACATCTAATTGAGAGATGTCACATGCTCCTGATGGGAGGATCCACTGCTGCAAAGCGGTCAGTTCTCTCCAGATTGATCTGGAGTTCAGAACAATTGCAGTCAACCCACAGAATGGGAGAGAATGGTTGCAAATCATATATCTGATAAGGACCTAGTATCCAGGCTATATAAAGAACTCTTACACCTCAACGACAAAAAGACAAACTACCCAATTAGAATTGGATGACGGTCCTGAATAGACATTTCTCCAAAGAAGGTATAGAGATGGGCCAACAAGCCCATGAATAGACTCTCAACATCATTTGTCGTTAGGGAAAGACAAATCAAAACCACAGTGAGATACCGCTTCAGGTCCATTAGGATCGCTATCATAATTTCTTTAATGGAAAATGACAAACGTTGGCAAGGATGTGGAGAAATTGGAAGCCTCATGCATTGCTGGTGAGAATGTAAAATGGTGCAGCTGTTGGGGAAAATAGTTTGGCGGGTCTTCAAAAAGTCAAACATACAGAATTACCATCTGACTCAGCAATTCCACTCCTAAATATATATCCAAAAGAATTGAAAATGTATATTCGAACGAAAACTTCATATTAGCATTATTCATAACAGCCATGAAGGGGAAACAACTAAATGTCCATTAACTGGTGAATGGATAAACAAAATATGCTGTAGCCATACAATGGAATATTCTTCAGTCATAAAAAGGAATGAAGTACTGGGACATGATGCAACATGGATGAACCTCAAATACAGTATGCTAAGTGGAAGAGGCCAGACACACAGGCCACATATTGTATGATTCCGTTTATAAGAGATGTCCAGAATAGGAAAATTGATAGAGATAAAAAATAAAATCAATAGATGGGCTAAAGGGAGGGGGCAATGGGGAGTAACTGCTAATCGGTACGGAGTTTCTTCTTAGGGCAACGAAAACATTCTGGAATTAGATAGTGGGGATGATTGAACAACATTGTGAATATACTAAAACTCCCTTGTACACGTGAAAATGGTTTAAAATGGTGAATTTTATCTCAATAAAAAGAAGAAAAAAAGAAGCAAAGGGATGAGGGAGAGATAGTAATCTTTAAAAAAGTAGAAGGAAGGATAACGTTTTAAAAAATAGACTTGATTATCAAAATCAAAAGCCAGTTCTTAAAAAATATAATAATAGGGGCCAGCCCGGCGGCACAGGGGTTAAGTTCACCTGCTCCACTTCAGCAGCCCGGGGTTCACAGCTTCGGATCCTGGGCACGGACCTATGCACTGCTTATCAAGCCATGCTGTGGCAGGCATCCCACATGTAAAGCAGAGGAAGATGGGCACGGATGTGAGCTCAGGACCAGTCTTCCTAAGTAAATAGAGGAGGATTGGTGGCGGATGTTAGCTCAGGGCGAATCTTTCTCAAAAAAAAAAAATTAATAATAATAATAATAAACCAATCTCTAGCAAGAGGGATCAAGTAAAAAAATGAACGGTAAACGGACAGTTACAGTGGAGATTTTAAATATCATTGATGAATACTATGAGGAAAGACAGGCACAAAATAGTAGGTCTGGAGCTTGTTCTGTAGTCTGCAGCGCCCCCGCCATAGCAAGTCTGCTCCTTTTAGGTCTCTGTTTTCATGCTCACAATGGGAGGGGCCAAGGGCAGGGAGTTGGCAGTCCTGATATACTGCATTCAGATGACACAGTTTTTCTGGGTCCCATGCATTTTAACCATCAACAGCCCGTAGGTAAAATGGCAAGCAGCTGAGTGGTCCTTGGGTTCCAATTACCAAGCGAAGAGACCAAATTCAAAAATACTGTATTTTTACTCTTACTTTATTATTAATGGATTTCTTTTCCCTTTTAACTTCTCAGGGATTTTATTCACTCAGGGACCAAATATTTATTGAACATGTGACTCAGTTTGCAAAAATCCTGCCACAAAAAAAGCAAGTCAACCTATGTTAATTCTATTTGCAGAAATCTGGAAAATTCAAACAGTGTGCTAACGTGTCTACTCGGGAGGAATGTAATTGCACACAGGATCAGAAATTATCGCATGCTGTTGCTTTCTCAGATTGCAGAGAAAAAGTAAGATAATTTTTAATTATCTAAAGACAGAGGACTCTCATATTAATAAGATTTTGAAATAAGGATTTTGGTTAAACGTGAAAACTGAGACATAGAAATAATGTCTTATTATGACATTGAACTAAATATGACAGAGAGTTATGAGGATCTGGATTGAAATGTCCCCAGACAAGTTGATTAACCTCATCTGTGAAATACAATAGTACCTACACTGCTCTGTCCATTTTACAGGTTTTTATAGAGATATATACAAACACACATGCATGTATCTATATGAAAACAATTTGTAACCAAACACTACACTAGATTGTGGTGAATATTGATTCATTCAAAATTGAGTATCTAATGTGTATCGGGTTCTGGGAAAACAAAGGTTGAAGTTCTTGTAATCAAGGAAGACATATAATGTGTTGGTTAAGAGAGTGGATTCTGTGTGAAAGATTTCATTCTGTTAGTCTCAAAGAATTTAAAGGTCTATCGAGTTACTGGTAGTGTTCGCATTAGCTGAGTTAGGGGTGTACTTAGTATAAGTTTCAAGTAGATCTGTTTCAAAGGCCTTGTAAGACTATAGGTAGCATTATATTAAGAGATTTCATATAAGAGTATATTGAGCATAGAGTTAGCATTCAATAAATTAGGAGGGTTGCTTTTATATACCTCTACAGCTCCCCCCTTGCTGAATTACCATATTTCTTGAGCATTTCCTATCTACTAACCTGCTCTAGGCTTTCTCTGTGATTTTTCTCATTTCATTTGAGGCACAGAGAAGCCAGATAGTTTGCCAAAGATCAATCATTAATGTGTGATGGAGGCAGATTTGAACTCTGACTCCAGAGCCAGAGTTTAAAGAGTGTGCCTGAAAGTTCGCGGCTGGCAGGGAGAGGGGTGTCAGGGAGATGGGCAAGAACAATTCGTGCAGAACCTGTGGGATATGGGCCAGCCAAAAAAGTCTGGCTACCATCACAGTAAATTCCTGTAAAAAAGGCCAACAGAAAGTTCTGAGTTTTGTTACCACAACGTTTGTGTGCTACTTTTGGAGTTCACATTGATTCTCCTGTAACACGGATTATTTTTTCGTGCCTTGAGAAGGTAGAAACCCCAGGAAGCCCATCTCGTGTAGACTAGCCAAACTCTTGGGAATATATCTATTCACTCCTTACCGGGAAATGAGACTAGTATTGAATTTTCCGAATTTACATTCATTCTTGGAATTTGCATTTTAGGTTCCTCGTTTTAAGTTTCCAGTTACACAGTATCCAATTTCTCTGGAAATTCACAGTGAGGATGGACGCATCCCACTGGAAAGTCCGTATCTAGTGACTGTGACTGAAGTGAATGAGAGGCGGAACTGGAAACTAAGTAGGGCTTGCTTTCTCCTAAAATTATTTTGTCTTTTAAGTCGTGTTGTTATTACCTAGATAAGTGGCTTACAAAACCTGTTTACACGAGAGACAGCCAGGAATTCTTTGGAGAAGAATTCGAATCAGTTGGAACATTGCCGTTCACTTTACTCGTTTAGGTTCCCGCATGCTTTAGCATCACTTCCAGTGACCTGGGTTCTATGGCATAGCCGCATTTTTGAGGAATTTGAACTGTAACATATTTTGAAAGCCATTTTCTAGATTAGTAACAAAAGTGGTTAACTGAATTTGTGCTACACGTAGGTCTGGTGTCCCCTTCCATTGCTTATGCAATGTTACAGAGGAGGTTATAAAAGGTGTTGCCCGATAATCTGTAGGACCTATCATCTAATTATACGAGCAAAATTTCTTAAAAGGTGTATGCTAAAATAATTGAGAAGGTGCAGAAAAATTTCTAAATAAGAAAAATGAAATGTATCACAATTCAATTGCATCTCATGTATACAACTTTTTGCTGCACATTTTATGTTTGTTCTTGTAGGAATATTTTGAGGCAATTGATCAATAGATCAATAGAATTAAATGAAATTTTGATCAGTCATTAATATGTTACCAAATATCCAGATATTTGATATTCAGTGAGTCTTACTTTGCCCAATATATACATTTTTTCTTAAATTTTTTTTCCTCTTTCTCCCCAAAGCCCCCCGGTACATAGTTGTATGTTCTTCGTTGTGGGTCCTTCTAGTTGTGGCATGTGGGATGCTGCCTCAGCTTGCTTTGATGAGCAGTGCCATGTCTGTGCCCAGGATTCGAATCAACAAAACACTGGGCCGCCTGCAGCGGAGCGCGCTAACTTAACCACTCGGCCACAGGGCCAGCCCCCCAATATATACATTTTTGAAATGAAAAGTCCAGCAGAGAAAACTGCTAATTTTCTGTCTTGTGCTGGAGACTGCTCTTACTGGCTTTTGAGCACCGATTGTTAAATATTGTTAAATGTTCACGCATTTTGCATGCTGGTGGTTAGACCATTGGTAGCTTGAAGTGAGCTTGAAACTGGGTGAGAATATTGACACCATGGAAACTGACAAATGCTACAATCAGAGCTCTTTTTTCTTTTAGATCTCATGTACCATTACACCGCTGCAATTTCTAACCCACACACTGCCTATCTGGTTTTAGAAAGAATCATGAGAAAGATAGGAGTAACTGATCCCTTCTTTTGGAAAAGATTTAAATGATTCTATTGTGGAACTTTTCTGCCCCCTTACTGAAAATCACCTACCATCCACAAAGGTGGTTCTGAAACTATCTCATTGCCAAAGACAGAAAGCATGTGCCAGTCAGGACTGGTTGTGAGCGTGGGGCTGGAAGGAGGGGCCAGCCTGAGTTAAGGGGGTCAGGGATCTTGTCCTTCTTGACAAGTCCCCCGAGGAGATGCAATATCAAATTCTAGACCTAATCTCCCTAAATACATCTTCCACATATTAAAGCAGAATTGAAAGAACAGGATAACTCAGCCATGTTGTGGAATGGAATCTTTCATTGTACCTTAATATATGTAACAAATTGTGTGCAAAATGAGAAAACAGCGTCAGTGTGCTTAAAATATACTTCATGTACTTTTAGAACACACTGTACCAGAAACTGTAAGCAAATTGAAATTTTACTTAGAACCGATTCTTCATGCCCAGGTGTATAATCCTTCAGGCCTCAACTTAAGTATAAAGGTGAGTTGACAGCATTTTTGTTTGTCCTGTTTTGAATTTAGATAAAACGTATATGTCTAAACAAAGTTTGGTTTTAGTTTCGAGGTATAGGTATCCACGAATGGTGGAAATAGCATTTTTAAAGTTTGCAGAGAGTGTTTATTTTTTCTCCGTTTCCCTTGATGTTATTATTTCTAAAGGTATCTGAAAGTTGAATTTAACATTAACTTACTAATTTTTGAGCTGATAGGCAAGACTAATACATTACCTATTAAGGTGGAGCAGAAAGGGTGTTTCCCAAAGTTAGAGGGAAAACGGGCTCAATATTCTTCACCTGGATATAGCTGCCCATAAGAACATATGAAGTTGATATAATCCAGGGAATTGTTGTGAAAACCAATAAAAATTAGAAGGCAATCACAACCATAAAAATGAGGATTAGCCCACAGTACACATCAAGGCCATGTTAGGTTTTTTGTTTCTGTTTCATCATGCTACAAATAAAAGCATCAGCTGTTGAATCCCTCATCTTAGAGTCTCGTCCTTCTCCCTGTGTTTTTATTTTGATCCATGAAGTGTATGCCCAAAAGCCTTAGGAAGGTGACTGGAATTTTTCTAGGCAACATCTAGAGGGACAGTAGCCCCAGTGTATTTTTTTACTTAAAAGGACATAAGTGTCAATGCTGCTAATGACCAGGTGTGTTTTTTTCCACAGGGATCTGAGCTTTTTCACTTCAGAGTGTCAGTTGTTCCGGGGGTCACTTTTTGTAACTTAGTTGAAGAATTTCAGGTACAGTGAATGCGCAGGTATCCGGTGGGGTGATGGCTGGGGAAATAACATGACATGCGTCAGTCCAAGAGAAACTTAAGGGAAAAAAAATGGTAGAATTTGTGTGATGGACAAGGCCTGGAGACAGAGGATCCTGGAGACTTGTAGTGACATTGTCAGTAATGACGGGGTTAAGGCGCATGACAGGTGGCAGGACTGATGGATGCTGTGGAAATTTTATTAAGTGCCTGTACTTTTTTGTTGTTATTGTTCCACCTTCCTTATTTAGGTCAGTTTCTGATTTTTAATGCCCTTCCTCTCACCCCCACCTCCTGACAGAGACACATGGCTGTAACATTTTAGTTTCCAATATGATCCTCCCTTTGGTTATTTGCATTGTAATGGTAGAGTCTTAAATACCCCCAAAGCTTTCAAAATTGAAAAGAATTGAGAGCCAAAATCAGTGTCCCCAAATCACCACATGATGTGCAATGACTCATTTTTGCTTATTTATGTAATGACATCTGCTGCCTGTGGGGGGTGGGAAGAAATGAGGATTTGATTAAATTGATCAATGATTCATTCATCGTCAAATACTGATGCCATATTACCAAAAAACAAAATTAATCTCTCCCTCCCTCTTCCCCTTTCCTTTTTCTATCCTGGCCCCACCCCAAGGCCAGCCCAATAATGGATCTACACAACTGCAGGGGTGGGTGGCCACGGCAGCAGTGCAGACACCCAAGACCCTGGGGGGAAATTCATCCCCCTAGATAGATAAACTAGGAAGAGAAACACTTGTCATATGAAGAGTGTGAGAGGAAATTCCCATTATTTTTCTCTCTCTTTTTTCACCTCTTTGTCACAAAGGCAGCCCCAGTTTCAGGGAACAGCACAATAGTACAGGGGGCTAAAATTCTCATAGAATCCCAGCTTTCTTCCCAGAGGACTAGGAAAAAGGGCCTCTGGGAGTAGGGAGGGTGGGAGGAATCCCTAAGAGAAGAGAGCTGGAGAAGGAGATTCCTCATATATGAACTAGCATAAGTACCAAGGATCACAGGAGCAGAATACACTTAAAGAAGAATAGTAAAGGAGTCAAAATAAAACTACAATATAAACACCACGTAAGTTCCAGAATAACGCCTGAGTGGCAAAGGAACCAGGCAGACACAATAGCACAGCAAAGGCTTTGAAAACTGAACTGATGTTGGAGCCACCACCTACAGACAGTAAAGCATGACTTGTGATCCAAACTCAACCAGTGTGATGGACTCCTAAAACAAACAAAAAATCAACATTTTCCAGAGAATTTTTAACAGGACCCAGAGTCTCCCAACGTAATATCTTAAATGTCCAGGATACAATCCAAATTTCCTCAATAAACCAAGAATTAAGAAAATGTAATCAATTCTGAAGAGAAAGGACAATCAGCCAATGACAACAAATGGAATTATCAGATATTTTAAACCAGCTTTTACAACCATGCTCCATGAGGTAAAGGTAAACTCTTTTGAAATAAATGGAAAGGGAAAGGGAGAGATTCTCAGCAGAGAAGTGGGAGCTATAAAAAGGAACCAAATGGAAATTTGAGAGCTGAAAAATACAATATTTAAAGTTTAAAAATCACTGGATGAATTCAGTAGCAGTATGGATCTGGCAGAGAAAAAAATCAGTGAATTTGAAACTAGATCAGTAGAAATTCAACCTGAAGATAATAGATTGTAAAAAGAATAGCCTTGGGGACCTATGTGACAGTATCAAAAAGTCTAACATTTATGTCACCAGAGTCTATGAAGGAGAGGAAAAAGAGATTGGTGCTGGAAAAAAAAATCTGAAGAACTAAGGGCTGAAAATATCCCAAATTTAGTCAAGACATAAATTTACATATTCAAGAAGCTTAATGAATCCCAAACAAGATAAACTTAAAGGAATGATGCCTAAACACATCATAATCAAATTGCTAAAAATCAAAGATAAAGAAAAAAATCTTGAAAGCAGCCAGATAAAAAACCACTACATATAAGGGAATGACGATTCGAATGACAGCTGATTTCTCTTCAGAAATCATAGAATCAAGACGAAGGTTGTACAACATCTTTAATGTGCTGGGGGCAGAAGTAGGGTGGGGAGAAAGGACCGTCAATCCAGAATTCTCCGTCTAGTGAAAATATCCTTCAGGAATGAAGGAAAAATAAAGGCATTCTCAGATGAAAGAAAAGTAAGATAATCTATTGTCTAAAAAAAAATGCTTAAGGAAGTTCTTAAGGCTGAAAAGAAGTGTCAACAGAGGGAAATGAAGCTTCAGGAATGAAAGAAGGGCCGTAAAAATGAGTAAAAGAAAAATTAGGAAGTGATTGCACAGTTAATAAAGGAAGAGAATCATTAAGAAACGATAGAAAATGGTCATAAAGTTTCTTGGGACTGTGGAAATCTGCTTTAGAAAGTATCCTGAAACAACGGAATGCAAGCATGATGCTGGATTTTCCCTCACCATGAAGGACACTGTTGGGATAACTGACAAAATTTGAATAAGGTCTGTAGATTAGATAATAGCATTGTCTCAGTGTTAACTTCTCGATTTTGATAATTGCACCGTGGTTATTTAAATGAATTCTTTGTGTTTAGGGAAATACAAACTGAAGTATTTTGGTGGTAAAGAGACATTGTGTCTAGAACATACTCTTTTATGATTCTGGGGTTTAACCTTTTTTTTTTAGACATGGCGTGGAATATTTGGATAGTCAAAGAAAGTTGGAAGGGAAATATTTGAAGAAAAACTGTTTTTAAAAACTTTAGAGGTAGCAATTTAGTTGGAGAATACAGAATTCAGAGGTGATACAGGTTTCTACTCTTGGGAATGCCATGGATGGCTTAACTGAGCAAGTGAAATTTTCATATTGTGTAGTAAGGTGGCTAAAATTTCATTTTAGGTAGAAATGGGTAAGGCAGGCACTCTGGGCGGCGGGAACAGAAGCCCAGATATGGGAAAACACAGATATGGGAAAACAGAAAACTTATCTCTTGAGTAGCTTCTATCCATTTGGCTGGAATGTAAGGTTATCTATGAGAAGGTGGGTAGGCTAGGGTCAAATTGTGGAAGATCTTGAATGTCAGAAGGAAAACTTTAGAACGTTCCTGTCAGCAATGAGAAGCTATTAAATATTTTTGAAAAAAGGTTTTCAGGGAAAGGCAATGCTCTATGGCAGCCCGATCAGAGTGAACCACAGGACTTTTGCTCAAAATGCTGGGACGTGGACTTGCTCTTTCTTAATGATATTGAACAAGGAATCTTGCAGCCCCAGGAGCTGCTGTCAGCCATGAGGGTTGTTGGGACTATGAGGGCAGTTATCCAACATTGAGCAAGCAAAACAGAGAGACGGGAAAATATATATATATATTATGATCACAATGGATTGTTTCCTCTGGTTCTTCCCAATTTGCACATAGAAAAGCAAGTTCACTTTTGTAATTACATGTAGCACACAATTGTCTCTCTCACTGGCCACAAACAGACTAGATCTTTCTTAGCAGAGCTAATTATGCAACCTCTTCTGATGGTCCAGTTTAAAAGAAAGATTTTTATCTTGTAGAACTCTCATCAAGACCACAAGTAGTATATCACATTCGATATCTAACAGCTTTCTATCAAATCCCCGATAATTCCAGGACCATTGGGCATATAGTCTGAGCTCTAAAGCACAAGAGGAGATGGTTAAACCAGCTTATCTGTTACCATAGAGATAATTATCTTCCCAGATTGGAAAGAATGACTTCTCACTGCTTTCCACGTCACTTGACCAGGTCTACCCTTTAAACTCCTTTGCTTACAACACCCCACTTCTGGTACCAGTTCTGTATGGTCAAGATTCTTTTAGTTTCACTTTAAAAAAAATTGTTATGTAGACAGACTGATGTTTTACAAGGATTAATCTGGCAATGTTATTAGGTCAACATCGATTGACAGCATAGAAAGGAGGCTATTAGATTAGCTTATTTATACGAAGTGAGGTGATAAAGTTCACAACAGCAGCATTGAAAGTGGAATGGAAAGAAGGAATCTGAGAGGAATTGAAAAAGAATTGATAGCATATAAGGACTCTAAGAAAAGAAATAACCTCCTTGGGTCACTGGGAGGATGGTGGTGACTTTAACTTGAGCCATTCCCTGAAGCAGCTTATCCGTTCTTTTTCTTGTCTTTAGCATTTTTCCACATTCCCTCTGTCCTATTTCCATTCATCTCCACTTTCTCTACCTCAAAAGATGATCTTGCTTCCACTGCACAGAGAGAACATAAGGGCTTGAATCACCTTCCTCCCTTTATGCTCTCCCTTCTACATTGAACATAAAATGGCACCCATCCTTGCCTCGTGTCTCAGAGAAAAAGACGTCTGTGTGCCTCTCTGTCAGTGATACTCTCTCTCCTCTAGGATCTTGTTTTTATTGATTATCCATTGAGGCAGACGAAATATTTGGAATACACAAATTTCCCTATGTCATCACTGGTGTAGAGGATTTTCTAAGCAGACGTGACAGCTTGAAAGAGCTCATGCTTATTCCCCCTACCTGGAACGTCCCTTCTTCTTCTCTTCTCTGAACCCGCTTATTCAGGATCCAGCTCAGGAAGCGCATTCCCTGTCCACCCTAGGTGGTCAGGTATGCCCTAACCGTGTTCCCACGGCACTTTGCCGATCCCCCTGTAACGAACATAGAACGTTTTCCTGCCATCTAAGCATTATCTGCCTACCCCTGCCATTAAAGACACAGGATAATAAATAGAATTCTTATCCCCTCTTTATTGTGTGCAAATTGTTGTTTGTCAGATGGCCAAGATTTGTGGCTGCTGAATATCTACATAAGTCGGGGCAGAAGTTTGCTAAGAGATTAATAGTGTCTCCACCATTGTGGGAAGGATGTAAAGTTCAGTGTTTTAAATGACTAGATTCAGAAAACTTAAAGACTTTGCTTTTTCTGTTACAGATTTATGTTGATGAAGCACCGTTGCCATTTCCAGGACACACACTTATTGCCGTCGCAGCAGCTGTAATGTTGGGGGGATTAATTTTTATAACATTTATGTTTCAACTACGTAACATCCACCCATGGAATGTGTTCCGAAGACTCTTTCGAAGAAACAAAGTGAACTTTTCCAATTTTAATGCCAATCAGCCGACTCATTGATGAAAATCTGAGTAACGAATGAACAACAATCGTACTTTTCTCTTCATTTCCTAGTTCTATTAGACAATTCCTAGAACAATATATGTAAACGTTAATATAAAAACTAGATTTAAAACTACAGAATTACCATTATAACTCAAATTGCTATTTGTCAATGTTTACCATCCATTCTTTTATTTTAAATGTATAGAAAATGTCTTATGTCAACACTTATATGGAGGATCTTCCGTGAGGTTTTTAGAAAAATATAAAATGGTAGTCATCTCTGTGTGGAATGGGTTTTCTGTGTTTTTCGGCTTTTCTTGACTGGAGCCCATTCTGTGGGCTCAGAACACCAGCGCTGCTCTCTTCAGAGAGGAGTCGGAATGGAAGGCAGCCACGCGGGGGGAGATGGGTGGGGAAGGAGGCTCGTCTGCAGGCCTCATGGGAATTGAAGATGAACCCATTTGGGTTTCTCGAAGCACCTTCAAAACCAGATTGTAGTGCCTGAAAGGGAAACATGACCCCTTCTCAGGGATGTTGGAGGAACACAGCATCTAGGTGAGGCATTGGTTCACAGACCTACATGCAGGTTGTAGAATTCTGAAAGATGTACCTCCGTGTGCTGTCTCAGAGCACCTGTTCCCAAGCACAGTCCTGTGCCTCTTAATGATAGGGATACGTTCTGAGAAACGCATCTTTAGGTGATTTTGTCATCGTGCGATCATAGAATGTACTTACACAAACCTAGATGATGTAGCCTACTACACACCCAGGCTATATGGTGCTAGTCTTATGGGACCACTGTCATATATGCAGTCTGTCGTTGACCAAACATCTTTATGTGGCACGTGACTGTAGTCAGAAGATGGCCCATGCATTCAGAGCTCAGAGTCACACTCTGCTGGGAAAGCTCAGGAGGAGCAGCACACTGCTTTGACAACATGAGGAGAGGCTAGGCACCTGGTCCAGAAGAGCCCAGTGCTGGGAGCTGTAAACCATGCCTGGGTATATCATCAAAGTTCTTTTGAGAGGGCAGTGAGCAAGGTGGATGCAAGAATCCGACTTAGGAGCCAGACATCCCGGGTTCGCCACTTCCTAGATGTATAATCCGGGCAAGTTACTTAATTTCTTTGTGTCTGAGATATCTCACCTGTAAAGTGGGGATAATATGAACACCTACCTAATGGGGTTATTGTGAGGGTCAAATGAATTAATATATGTAAAGTACTTAGGACAGTGCCTGGGTCTGTGAGTACTATAAGTACTAGCTGCTGTTGTGGTTAGATTGCAAGTAATAGAAAGCGATTCTTTTTTTTTTTTTTTAAAGGAAGGGTTTTTTTTTTTTAAGATTGGCACCTGGGCTAACAACTGTTGCCAATCTTTTTTTTTTTTTTTCTGCTTTATCTCCCCAAACCGCCCCCCGTACATAGTTGTATATCTTAGTTGCAGGTCCTTCTAGTTGTGGCATGTGGGACGCCGCCTCAATGTGGCCTGACGAGCGGTGCCTTGTCCGCGCCCAGGATCCGAACCCTGGGCTGCCGCAGCAGAGCGCGTGAACTTAACCACTCGGCCATGGAGGCAGCCCCACGATTCTGTCAAATTATAATAAAAGGGGAAATTTATTGGAAGGATACTACAGAGAGTCAGATAATCAAAGTAAAATCTAGACAATCAGTTATTGTCATGGGCAGGAATGAAAACCATTCTGGGGACCCAGGAAACAGGAGTTTGTCAACTTTTCAGAACATCACTTGGGCCAGGAGTCTATTGATAAAATGTGGCACAGTGGTTAAAAGGGCAAGTTCTAGAGTTTAACAGGATGGGTTTTTCCTTTTAAGGAAATTTTTACAATTTAAAATAGTTTTAGATTTACAGAAAAGTTGTGAAGATAAGACAGAGGGTTCCCATAGAGCCCACACTCTCTTGCCTCTGAAGCTGACATCCTACAGCCTGGTTTTTATCTGGCTCCACCACTTGCTAGCTGCGTGAACTTGGGGAAGTTCCTTAGCCTGAGATTCTATACTGTGGTCTATGCACATCACCCTTTGGCTGTTCTGCATTTCAGTGTGTAGACGCATGCCATGTGCACCTCTGTCTTCCTGTACACTCAGAGATGCTCCCACTGAGATAATCCAGCTATTCTACATGCAACTACAAATTCATTCACCTCTTCCCCCAAAAAAGATGATCCAAAATCATATCTAACGGTAGGGTCCAGACATAACGTCATAGAGCTACCGTTCTTGGAGTCCAGGATCTCTAGGTGCCATCAGTTTTTCTTAGTTTCTCCTCAAAAAGGGGAAAATGGTGGTAACTATTATACTTTAGCAGAAAACAAGAAATGTGAATAGGGTTTATGACCCTCGTTTCTGTAGCTGATACCAAGGCTGATAGATTAGCTTTCTCCCTCCACTACACGTTCCATGCGCATCCTTGCCTTTGACCAGCACCTCAGCTGATTAGGATCCTCCGCACAGGAGGATCAACTGTTCTCATTCCTGAAAGGTCCGAGCCTTTGGTAAACCTGCCCTTTGGTAATCAGTTATCTATTACTGTGCAAATTATTTTCCATTGATCTTTGTCCTTCGGTACAACAGTAGAATTTTGTGGCCCAGGATCCACCCAAGTTAATCTTGGTCCTCATTGTCCTATAGCATCTCTATTTTTCTTCAGTAAGATCAATTATCCTCTCTTGTGCCTGTTTTCCTAATACACCAGGAACCTAAAATAGCTACATGGCAATCTTGGTTTCCCATTCAGTGGAATCTTGTTGCATTCACTGGTAGAAGCATTTCTACATTGGTTAAGGCCACCTGGTCATCAGAGCCTAAAGTTGAAAGCACAAAAGGAAAAGATTTTGGTAGTGGTTTATTAAGTGAAATCTTAAAAAGAACTATTCACTCTACACCCCTTGTCTTCCAAATCAACGTGTTCTAGCTGTAGGAAACAGTCCCACACACTGGGGATTACTGACATGGAACACATATTTCATCCAGCTAGAGAAATCACCAGTGTCCAGGGGGCCAATGTGCATGAACTTTCAACAGGCCTCCTCCTTGTATCGTAAGATCACCTATTTCTGGGTGACAGAGTACACAATAATGCATCGAATGTCCAAAACATCAACCATTGCCTTACTTGTTCCTGTGCAGAGGTTGAGGATTGGGTCAGAGGCACAAGCGCTGAAAAGATTACGGTGTCTCGTCATGTGTAATTAAAATTTTTTGATATACCACAAAATGTAAACATATGTGGAAATTAGAATCACTTCTTTCTAGATGTTTCTGGTTGCAAAATTCTAAATAAATTTATCAGAGCTTTACTCTCATTTTTTTTTTGGTTACTCCATTCCTTGTGTTGGCATGTAAATTGGCAGAGATGGTAGAATACCATGGCAGCATGTAGGGCATTCAGAACAAATGACAGGCATGCTCACTGTATAATAAATATAATGTCTCTTTCTGGAGCAAAAGGCGACATGCTTACTGCCCATTATAAAAGATTTGAGGGTGATGCCAGCAAAATGGCAGAGTGAGCTGACCCGGGACTCTCTCCCCTCCAAACTACAACCAAAGAATCAGAAAAACTGAATTTCAACCAATAACCCTCATACAGAGACTGTCAGAGACCTACAGCAGCAAGACAACGGAGGACGGAGAGGCTGCAGCCAGCCTCGAAGGAGCTGGAACAGGGTAGGAGAGAACTTCACTCCCTCCCGTAGAGACTGGGATCGCTGCCGCTGGTGAGGGAAGGAGCGGGGGAGGGGCTGCGCATCCAGGGATTGTCCAGGACTCCCACCACCAGTGCAGTGGAAACCCACTGACAGGGGAAAGCTTGCGCATGTGGGGACCCCATCAAGCCAGGGCCCCGGGAGACCAGAGAGCGAGAGCTGATCAGAATCCAGATTGGCATGCAAGAGAAGGTGCCCCTCCTCCCCCAACCACGCTGCAAACCCGCCATCACGGCTGAAGGCAGAGGGCTCAGAACACGCAGCTCTCGACCCCCATCTCATGGCAACAGGCTGTAACTGCAACCGAATACTGCCATCATGCACAAAAACCACTCCTCTACCATTCAGCAATTTATAAAAGCTCCAGACAAGAAGGAAAACAATAAAAACACAGAATTAAGTCCCGAGGACTTGGAAATAGGTAAACTAAGTGAAAATGAGTTCAGAGTAGCTATCATCAAAAAACTCAATGAGGTAAAGGGAAATATAGAGAAACAAGTCAACGAGTTCTGGAGTTACTTCACAAAAGAGATTGAAACTATAAAGAAGAATCAATCAGAAATACTAGAGATGAAAAATACAATGGACCAGATAAAAAAGAATATGGATTCCCTGAATGCCCGGGTAGACACCATAGAGGAGCAAATTAGCATAATCGAAGATAGCCAGGTTGAATGGCTCCAGACAGAGGAAGAAAGAGAACTAAGGATTAAAAAGAATGAGGAAAATATCAGAGAAATAACGGATTCAATGAGGAGAACCAATTTAAGAATCATAGGAATTCCTGACGGCATGGAAAAGGAAAATGAAGCAGAAAGTGTGCTTAATGAAATTATAGAAGAGAACTTCCCAAATCTAGGGATTGAGGGAGAAATGTGTGTGGAGGAAGCTTTCAGATCTCCTAGATTTGTCAATGTAAAAAGACCTACTGCAAGGCATACAGTAGTAAAAATGGCAAAAAATGAATGACAAAGAATACTCAGGGCAGCAAGACAGACGAGAATAACCTACAAAGGAACTCCTATCAGACTTTCAGCGGATTTCTCTACAGAAACCTTACAAGCTAGGAGAGAATGGAGTGACATAGTCAAAACTTTAAAAGATAAAAGTCTTCAGCCAAGAATACTCTATCCAGCAAAAATATCCTTCAGATATGAGGGAGAAATTAATTCTTTTCCAGACAAAGAAAAGTTAAGGGAATTTGTAACCAAAAGTCCTCCACTACAAGAAATCCTCCAGAAGGCTCTCATACCTGAAAAAAGAAAAAAAGGGAGAAAGGGGTCACAAACCACAGAGTAGGGAGACAAACAGATAGAAGCAGAATAGGATAGCAAACATTCAACTATAGCATTAGGATAAAGGTAAGGAAACCACCAAAGCAAAGATGATCTTATCGCTCTAACCACAAACTCACAACACAAGGTGGAATAAGAGATGAAAATAATAGTTTAGGAGGGGAAGAGGAAAGAGACTAAATCAATCTAGGCCAAGGAAGTAAGAGACCACCAGAAAGTGGACTATGGTGTACACGAGATTCTGAATACAAACTTCAGGGTAGCCACT